TTCCTCTCCTCAGCAGAAGTTGATTAGCAATGCCAGCTGTCCCCAATGCAATTGAGTGTGCGCATGTGTGTGTGCGAAGCTGCATGCACATGTAATGTATGAGCGCATGCGTGTGTGTGTGTGTGTGAGCATGGGGCTGTGTCGATGTGTGTGTGTGTGTTTGTGTGCGAGCTGCCAGCTGCCACGCGGTGCTGCCAATCCTCCATGATTAGTACCCACTGGCAACTGGGCGCAAACTGGTGCCAAACAGACCCAGGAGGGCAACATGGCCCATGGTAATCCTCCATCTTTCTCCGCTCCCCTCTTTCTCGTCTACCTCTCCGTCTCTACCACTCTTGTCAGTTGCGTTTTCCTTCCAAATGCTCTCCTCATGCTCATGTTGCTTTCTGCCTCAGCGCTCATTACGCCAAATGTGAGCAGGTAATATTTTAGGAAAGGGCTGATAAAGAAGCTACATATGGGAGAGGCACAAATACCCGCTGAGGGTGCAGAGCAGTGGCTGGAGTTAAGTGTGTGAAGGGTAAAACTGGGATCTATGCCTCGACACGGTTGACTGTGTCACTGTGAGGGTGCCAGTGCTTGGCAAGCAGCATCACAGTGCGTTCAGCCCCCAGTGGATGACCTCTTGCTACTTCTCACCTGTTGAGATTCTTCTATGAGCCTCCACAGGAGCCGGAGAGAGAGGAGGGGATGAATTCATTCAAAGAACCAAGTTTTGAATAAGTGGATGTGACAAGGTGAAAGAGTGGAAGGGGCTGGGGAGAGATAGGGCCATTATGCATACGGTTCCCACATGTCTGGCACATTTAAAGCGCTCCACACACACTAAAACACACACACTCTACGAGTTTGGCAGAGCGCTGGCTGTCGGACAGCTCTGGCATGGCAAAGGCTGCCCACCCATCTGCCCTCTGTCTCAGTAATGCAGTTACTTGTCAACGTGCAGGAGTGTGCTCATGGGTAAATTTACGCATACGTAAAGAACAAACACAGGCGGCCTATCACAGGCTCTCCCATAAGTACACAAACACAGAGTCATAATTATGACGCACGGACATGGAGTTTGTCCATGCACAGTAATTAGGACACACACAACATGCAAAAAATGTCATGCCGGTGATACAAGCACACACACTCTCTCTCTCTCAATTGTGATTTTGTCAAATGTTGGCAATTCCAGCCGGAGCTTATAGCCTAAGTCTATCAGTGGTTGAGATTACAGACAGATTTATGTGATTCACAATCTCCCCGGGGACCTGTGGCCTCGCACTGGTTAATCACCGCTTCACATTCACTCTCCCTGCCGCTCTTTCCGTGGCATGGCTATAACTCTGCGCCGATATGGTCTGATGTAACACTCGAGGTATTCGTGCCACTGCACTCCAGAAAAAAATTACGCTCTCTCGGCGCGGACCTCTTCCTTTCTGGATCACGTCTTTGACAGGGTTAAATCTCAATAATCCCACTAATCAAAAGGTTAAACCTCCTGCTGACCTTCAACTGCTTCATAAAAGAGAGCAAACACTTTTCATCTCCTCATTAGAGTTTGTTGTTTCACTGAATTATTGAGTCAGGTTATTCTTTGGAATGTAAATGTTTCTGCAGAAACAGTGGAGTGCAAATATTGCATAAAGACCAAATAAAACTTGGGAATACTACACAGTTAAATGTAATTTTTGAGCTGTAAACTCATTTTTGTGACTCTTCTTTGGTGGATTCCTTTCATGCTGGTTTAAAAGTCACACGTAATCAAGAAAAATCTACACACACACATGCACAAACACACACATAGTTTAGCGGAGACTTATGCCAGTGGCTCAAATGGCTCAGGAACGCCGCACACCTCAGACACGGTTTGACCCGACTGTCTTGGCACCAACCGCTTGTGACGGTAATTCAATCGCTCATCTTTTCTTAAAATGTGAAGCTTCTACTTCATACAACATTTCTGTCGTAAAGTGTGTGCTGCTCCTGGAGTTGTAGCTCACAGCTAGACGATGAAGATAACATAGATGACTAGCATGTTAATTGGTCACGTGAGGAATAAGTGGGCGTGCATTTTTTTTAAATTCATCCAAAACTTAGGGGGCAAGTTACACTTAAAAGCCACTAGGTGCAGGGTTTTTAGGCGATTGCAACTTTTCTTTAAACAATTCAAAATGTATATGTTGTTTTCAGATTCCAGGAGTTCATGGGTAAAGATGGATTATTGTTATTATTGGTAGATTTGGGTTTAATATGGCTTTCTATGAGTAAACTTTAGAGTATAGAGAATAATTCATACCTGTGTAGATGAAGCGTCCAGGTGTGCCTTTGCAGAACTGTTTGGATTTGTAGGACAGCGTGACCTCCACCACTCCGGGGATGTGTCTGGGTGGAGTCTGCACACGAATGGCATGGGGGGTGATCAGCTATATGAAGAGAGAGAGAGGGGCACAGAGATCAATGCAATGAAACTACACATCTAAACACGTGCTCCGGGGACTGTTAGTGGCTCACCCCGGACCCTTCCTCTGCTGCTTTTTGACTTTCTTTCTTTGTATAATCAGCCTGAAAAGGGTTAGCGCCAAAGCCCTCAGGTGGCCGCATAGCCCCAGGCAATGTCACTGTGAGGCTCGGGATGGTTATCAATGCTGACATGGAGTCTGTAAGAGGGGGTTCCAAAGCAGTTATGTGTTTATGAATAAAACACACACCTTCCTCTGCATATGTCTGTTACAAAGTATAAGTAAACGTATAATATGCCCGACTCTGCCCCTGTCTCTGTGTCTGTCAGCTGAGGCTGTCTCGCCGCCGTTAGCCACATTAAAGCGGCACTGTGTCTGAAACACGCTCACTTAGTGTGGATGATGAGCCCACTCGCCATGCATGCACGTGTGTGTGTGCACGCTGAAGGGTCTTTGAAGGAAAAAGGTAACAAGACAAAACACAGATGAGACCTCAACGAGTGCTCATTTTCAGCACGCTACAGTGAACTAGCACTCAAAGCTAGTAGCGCTCAAAAACTATCAATGCTGTTGCCAGTAACATGTGTGTGTATGTGCACGTGCGTGCGTGCGTGTGTGTGTGTGTGTGTAGATCTAACTGTCCCTTTCATTGCTCACTTAGCCAGGCTTTCATTCTGCTATTGTCTGGCCCCGCTCACCTCTCAGCGAGATAATATAGGAGCTTTTTATAGAATTATTTCTTTACTAAAGAGAAAGCTGTTTAGCTGCACCGCATGCTGACCTTCAATTTCACACATACACTGCATTTACATTTTAGTCATGTGGCAGATGCTCTGTACAAAGAGATTCATACTGTAGGGAGTGCACATACTCCAATGAGGCAGATAGGAACATAATAAAAGACAGGAAGAGAGCTGAGCATAGATATGACAGGGAGAGGAATGAGAACCCAGGCTGCTGCTCTTATTGTAAAACAGTTCTCATATGAGCTTATATCGCTGTAATTTATTATTGATTTCATTTTTAATTAATGTATTGATTATCATTTGAAGTGCCATATTACAATATTAGTTTGTAAAATGTTCAAAGATAAAGTATAATAGCATCTCTGCTTATTTTGTCATTTGAGATTCTGGGAATCTCAAAATGAATTGATTTTACAATGATGCACAATCCAGGTTTCCTTTTTTTCACAGTTGAGCAGCTGTGTTTTCACTTGACTTGAAATAATAAACTTTGATAAACCCTGAAAAAAATCTGTTAATGATCTCTGAGACTGTTCTTTTAGATACTCGCGTACAGCTGCACAGCTACAAACCTGAGGGATTGCTTTGGCTTTTTCTTATCTCTTGTAGAAACAAGCTATTTTCAGATATGACTTTGGACAATATCCAAAATATTCGGTCCGGACATTGCAACACATTGCGTGTTAGAGAAGTGATCGACATGCTGTGAATTTTTTCCAGACATTTTTCTGCTCTTTTCACACATGGCCTCACACAGACATTTCAGTAGGCGGGGGTGGCAGCCCCTCTGGATCTTTTCAGGGAAATGTTGGGTCTTAAAGAAGCTATACTTTCACAAGGTATTCAAATCTTTTTCAATCAAAATCTAAGAAGGAAAAAATACTTTGTTTTGCTCTCAGCTCTTGCCAACACCAGTGCTTCTTTGCAAATGGACATTGCTTCATTATAAAGTAGCCCAAAGCCAAAAAGGCCATTGGGAACCATTGCTTTGCAGTGCAGCAGAAGGCCTACGTTTAATATTTCAAAATGTGATGAGGGTGCACACATATGCACATGGTCTCTCCGGGTTACTGACCTCACTCCAGACCAGCATGGTTCCGAAGATGACCTGCAGGCCGTCAAAGAAGTTGTCCCCGATGATGATGACTGTGGCGCCCCCTGTGGTCCAGCCTTCACTGGGACTGATGGCTTTGATGCTGGGGGTTGCTGCGAGATTCACAGACAAAATAGATTAGACGTTAACAACCCTAATGACAGCCCATAAAGGTCTTTGCTATTGGCAACATGTACAGTCCCCACCTCTTCTTCCCATCTCCCTCTCTCTTACACACACACACTGACACACACAGATCACCTCTCTCCTCCCTCCCAGGGGTCGGGGGCCGAGCTCGGAATACTAATCAGAGTGATTATACGCACCCCGTTATTAAACATCACCCCTGCCCTGTGTGTGAGGGCAGCGGTGGTGCGCTTGTTTTATGACACGTGGCAAAGCGTGCGGGCGTGTAAATGTCAGGTGTGCTGAGTGTCTGATCAAAGGCCACGCGACCGGGGAGCAGAGCCCAGCCAGCAGTAGCTCTGCCCTCTGAATACTCCGCCTTCATTAAGCAAACACTTAGCTCTTGCTCAGCTGTCTGCTCCATATATATCCGCGCAGCTATATCCGCACCACTGACGACGTGACCACATCAGGCCATGTTTCTGCTCCTGTCTGGTATATTTGTAATGTGTTTTATAAGCTTTCAGTGTTTTCTCTTGAAACATATTCTTCATATCTTATCGGACAAAGTACATGGAACAACAACAATGAACCGCATTTTCAATAACGAGTATTCAATGTGCTTTTTGTCCTTATCTGCTGGTATTATGGACTTGAAGATTACTGATGTGATTGAAGAAAAGAGCAGCATTGGGGAAAATACATGTTTATACAAGCTAAATCTCCTCTCCTTAACAGATATGCAGCTTGTCAGACATGCTGTAATTCTGTAAAGCGGCATAATCCACTTTAGACTAGGCTGACTTTTTTCCCCTGCAGCCTCGCCTTTGCTCTTTGCCTGACTCCCTGTTCTGTTGATCCTCCCCAACAAGCTGGAATGATATTTAGCCCCCTGATACGCCTGCAGAGATCAACGTTCACCGAGCAGCAATCTGTGGCCGTAATCATGGCCTAAGATGCCTCCTTTTCACAGCCGCTGATATTATGTGCGCTCCATGTGCATGTGCGGATGTGTGTGTTTATGCGTGTGTGTGTGTGGATTAACCAGATGGTGGAACGTGAATCCATGTGATAGGATTATACTTTGGGGTGTTCCTCACCGCCATCTGTTCAGATCTCTGCACTGCTCATCTATTACCGCCTGAAATGGGCCCCCAAAGTTGTGTATCCCACACACAAACTCGACACACACCAGAGAGAGATGGGAAGAGGGGGGAGAAAACAAAAAAAGAAACTTCTGTCATCTTCCCTGACGTTTCGTTTTTTCTTTGTGCACTTTCACCCCGTCCTCTCATCTCCCCACTGCGTCTCGTTCTTTCGCTCCTGTTGTTCCGCTGTCTAACCCCCCCATCATCAGGAGGATAGAAAATCAGAGAAGAGGAAATTCCCCAACAAATCTCTCTGACACAGGGAACATCTGTTAGTTTACTGCGAGCACTCTTCTCTCTGTGTAAAGATCCAAGTCTCGCTGACGTCTCCAATATGTCTCGTCTTTGTGAACTTTCCTAATCGTCTGTGAGACCAGTCCCAGGGACAATTGGTCCACCTACCTCTGGAGGATAGTCATTAGAAAGACTTAACCATAACATTCAATCTTAATGCAATCTACTGTAGGCCATCATGTAAATCCCTTCTTAGTTTTTTGTCATTATCATCCCTGAGGTTGACTCTCCTCAAAGAGAAAAAAATATGTTTCTCTTATTCAATGTCTGGGAAATCGAAATGAGAAAATAACTGGATTAGGGACTTGGGAATCAGTGCGGGCTCCTAAATCATGTGCACATGTCATTATGAAGTATTAAAGGTTTGGGTCTGACTGTGCGTGCAAGGGTGTGTGTGTGTGTGTGTGTGCGTGTGTGCATGGACTTTTTTTGTGTGTGTGCATGGGTGTGTTTGAAAAGCTGAGGGATGGGGAGTGATGGAGGGCTGGAGGATAAAAGCAGGTCTCCGAGGAAATAAAGCCAGTGTTGGCTTTAAGCAGAACAGACCTCATAAGACACATAGTGCTTATGCGAGGCAGAGTAGAAGGCCCAGAGGCAGAGACCTGAGGGGAGCAGGCCACAAGGGAGAGACAAGAGACTCGCTCGCTACCACTCTCTCCTCTCTAAGCACGAGTTAGAAACCCTACAAGAGAGGGGAAAGTGAGAATCCGGGAGAGGAAGCAGGGGGAGAGATAAGACAGAAAGCAAGAGAGCAGGTTTGAGAAGGATAGTGGAGACAGAGAGGGGTTGAGTGGGGAGCCAGACAGAGAGGGGGTGAGGGGGTGAGGGGAGCTGAACAGAGAGAAAGAGAAAGTGATGGAAGACAAAGAAAGGCTGCACTGGTGGGAGACTTGAGAGTCTGGGCATTTTGCTCTTGTTTTTTAATACCGTGTTCCAGGTAGGACGGCGTTCCTTCCGAGGGGTCTAGTCTTCGGGCCCGGCGGCCGTGTTTGGAGTTGTTGTGCACAAACATGTTGTCGGAGACGGCCAGGACGTGACCCTCCACGCTCACCGTAGTCGACACGACCACCTGAGGAAAGAGGGAAAGAAAGAGGGAAACTCTAGAAATTAGAGCCAAAAAATTCACAAACAATAATTCTCATATTAATATGGGAGTTTGTATCTTGTGCTGAATTGAAATAAACATTTATATTGCTGTTACATTCAGTATTATTATCATCATAAAAATATAAATTATAGCGGATTTAAACAAGTGTAAAGTACACATAAACATTTTTTTCTTTTTGGAGCTAACATTTTATTCCATGCAGAAATCTGCAAAAAGGAAATTGTGCATTAGGGGAACTGTACTGCTCACAAAACGCTGTCCTGAAGTGCACTGTACAGGTTAGTGTGGGGTAGTTTGAAGCTTAAGCTCCGCTAAGGAGGTTATGTTTTTATCAACATTTGTTTGTTTGTCTGTGAGTTGGCACAAAAATATTTGACAGGTTACCACAAAACCTGGTGGATGATTGAAGTATGGCTCAGGAAAGAGCTCTTTTAATTTTTGTTGGGCCTTGGTGGCAGCATTTGATCTGCTGAGTCTTATTCTAGGTGTTTAAAGGCGCATCCAGATCATTTATACTGTGAGTAGGTACCTTGCAACAAATCTAGAAACGTTTTGGACAAACTGAAGGTACTTTCTGCAGAAGAGACTTGTCAGTATGGCCCTGCAAGCTGGAGGTTGAGCTTAGCCCCTCCCTATGTGTCTCATTCAGTAGATGCAATTCATTTTCCACTATGTTCCTCTGTGGGCCCATTATGTACTGTATGCACACAGACGGTTGCCTCGCACCTGAAAACGCCTCATGTCCCGAGGGTTCCCTGCGTTCTTCAGGCAGTTCTGGTTACACTTCAGGAAGAACTTGAGGAAGAACCTGCACACACACACAAAGAGAAGGAGAGAAACAGATGAGCAACTGAAAAGAGCATTTGTCTACCAGTGAACGTACAGTGTGAGCTGCCACAATAAAACACTAATAAAACAAATAAATAAAGCAGCTGTGGCAGACGAGGCTCGTACACCACGCCGTCCTCATCCATCAGTGGTTTATGACACAGGCGGTTTTCTGTGTAAAAACAGCTCCAGGGATATTGAGTGAGATGCTACCTTGTATATATCCATCCCCTGAACTGCTGTCACAGCTCGACCATAAACTCGCACAGGGGTAGACGCAGGACCCCCTCACCACCCCAACCTCCTGCGAGCTACAGAGCCGCGTGCGACGGAGGTTGCGCTGTACAGCTACAATGCAGCAGCAGCGCGGCGTTGCTATCCCCTGCCTCCCTCAATCTCAGTGCGAGAGACCACATCAACAGCACCTGCCATGCATTATTAATAGGCTGAGATGGCAAGTATGGCTACCCACATCAATACTTAATGAGGGAGGGAGGGTCAGGGGAGTAATGGTGGGGGGAGTGTGTGTGTGCGTATAGGGGGTTTAGCGTTGTGGTGGTGGGGCGCACCGGAGGCCTGAAACGCAGAAAAAGGGTTACGACTGACAATCTATTCCCTGGCCCCGCCCCGAGGCTCGGAGCCCGACAAGTTCTTCTCGAACTGAAACCACGGTAACCACGGTACTGTACATCTCTTCAAACCACCCCACCAACCCCTGCATTGTCTGGGAAAAAAAAGAAATAAACTATATCAAATAAACCCACGAAAATAAACAAGGCCGTGTACAAATAAACAGGAACCCTCAAAAAGAAAAAAAGGGGGGG